TGAAAGGACAAGAGACTATAAAAGTGGATATAAAGCCCATGAAAGAAATAGATAAACTCTCTCTTGGTTTGTTTAAGCCTTAACAAGGTCAGGTATCCAAATATTTTAGGCTACCTAGGGCACAAAACCCACACTAAATATTACTAGTTCAGTCTCCACCAAAGAGGGCTTCTCTCTAGCAGAGTCAGTAACACTTCCTAATAGGCTACCATAATGATAATCAACATGTACAAAATGAAATTTAACCAGATGTTATGTAATGTAACATAAAGATGTTGATGTGTACTGTGACTGGTGTAATCCTTAGGACCTGCCTGCTGCCGTGTGTGAGGTAAAACCAGCAGTAAGTAAATCTATGCTGATCAGGTGTCACACGCCGTACATACTCTAGCCTGCAGGATTCTGACCTTCCACGATTCTGTTCTTGTCCTGCAAGGGTCAGCACTCAAGCATTGTTCTGAAAAATCTACAATACCATGATAGTTATTAATAATAAAGCAATGTAAAGATAAATTAAGCAGGTATTAACAAATTATATGTTGTAAACAAGAGTATTTCCACTCAATTTTTCTAACAGCTTCACTTTCCAGCATATTTTTCTAATGGTCGCCCCTATGGCATTCCTCTAGTCTTTATGGTTGTAAAATGTATTTAAAAGTATCAGAAGATTAGGGACTAAGGCAAAAATTAAAACAGGAAAGGAAAGTCAGAACCCTGCGGACTAGGTACACTTATTCCTCCCTCTCACCTCATCTACTTGTATTACATAACGGATGTCATTGGAACAAGATAGCGCATGTACAATAATGTACTGTTGTGACTTCGATGAACATGTACAATAATGTACTGTTGTGACATCACTGTACAGGAGAATATTGATTTGAAATAAAACCCAAATTCAGCACATTTGTATTACAAGAACAGTCTATGGTAAATCTGAATCCTATATTGTAGTAATGTTGACATTGTTATACAGGTACAATGTATGAAACAATTACAATAATATTGGTTGTCTACCTTCCTGAATAAATTTGAGTTTCCTTTTTTGTTACCTCGTCAATAAATTAATGATAATAAATATTTGTTTTCTGGCTCCACGGGAGACTCCACAGTAGACCTGAAACCTATGTTTTGAGGACAGAATCACATGGTTCTGAATAATGTAGTTATTTTCTGCAATTTATTACGAATATTTGGAAACTTTGTCATTCATCTATTTATTCTCTGCAATTGTTGTCTATTGGGGAAACTTGGCATTTAATCCAGTTGGTTATCATCAAAAATTAAAAAATGCTTATCGATTGAATATCAAATATTTGGCTAAAATGTCAAAGAGATGTTTTCTTTTGCAGGCTCAGATACAAATACTCATCACAGATATTAGTCAGAAATGTTGAAAATAATAAATATCTTAATGTATATGTTACTGTGCCATTTGTAGAAGTAATGAAAGCACAACACAACTAACACAAAATTGTACACAGCTTATGAGGTATAATTAACACTAGTTCTGCTTTACTGGTGGTGGGCGTGGTTTATCCTAAATTATTGTACTCAATTACATGCTGAGCCTTGTTAGCTCAGCCGTGATGATTGGATGGAAAATATGTATGTCCAATTTGGCCTCATCAGCTAAAATCACCAAAAACAACGACTGGAACTTTGAAGAGAAAACTGCTATATATATGTGTGTTAAGTTTTCACATCAGTCACTAGTGAGACCTCTGATCATGTGATCTAGAGGGGGCTGGGCTAACAAGGCTGTGATGGATGATTATACATCTTTAATTCATTGACAGAGAAAAGGAACAAAAAAATGTCTGAAATTCTCATCAATGCAGTAAATAGATGTCCACCCAAATCAGCAACAATTACCTGTATAGAAATTCTATAACTGTCTGAATCAAGCAAAAGTTTATCTAACAGAAAAATACAGGTATCAAATATATGGAACTGTAAGGTATATAGACATTGTACTTCCGTACTTGTTTTTACATTAAATACTTATTTCTTCAAATTATGTAAATATTCTGCATTTTTGGCTTGTAAAGTTTCTAGACAAATTCTGCAGGTGTACCTATCCCGTCTGTATTTTTTTTACAGTATCTGAGAAATAGGGACTTTAACAAGCTAGTATTACTGTGAAATCAGATATTTTTGTGGGGCTCAACTTTGTTTGTTTTTCAAAAAAATCACGACATTGTGGAAATTTTGTTTATTTGTGGATAATAGAACTCAACAAATTATATACTGATACTAGTATTAGCAATTTCTGGACATACTGATTCATGGATTAAGAGTACCCACTAAACAAGTAAAATAAATGCCCCACAAAAATGAATGATTTTACAGTATCCTTAGTTGATGTTGATCAGATTTTCTGGAAATCTGCCAGAATTAGTTGTAATGATCCTACATACTAATGCCACATTCTTTTGTAAATCTGAGGAAAATGGCAAAGTTCAAATTTTAGGGTTTGTAAACTGATTACAACAATATTCATTTAGAGGTATGGACTAATTATGAAATTTGATTATTCATATACATTCAGCTAAGTTTTGATGATATGGAGAAAAACAGAATTAATAATTTGGAGAACAGATACACAGCTTGTAACATGTATATGATAATTGTAGATATATTTATAGCTTGGTTACCATTTATACATTAAAATACAAATGATACAGAAGTGTGATCAATTGCTATTTAAATGTTTGAATCATCAATAATAATGCCTGTAAATTCTGTTTATTTGCCGGTAAAAGTATTAGGTGTATTCTGATTTATCAAGCTGACATTTTGTTGATGTATTTTTAGAATTTGATTACAATGTCTTTGTTCTTCTCAGGTTCAGGACAGAACGTTCAGGAGGCACCTTGATAGGGTGTCACTTAAAAAAGTTGTAGATCTATTGACTAGGAAACTTTGAAGAGTTTAAGAAATTTTAAAACATCGACTCAAATTATTTATATTTCAATGTCATCATTGTTTTAAAGTAGAATTTCAATCTGTTTCTGCCCTTCAGATTTTCTAATTGATTCAAGTCCAAATTTTACCTTTATATCAAGTAGCTGATTTAAGATATTCTTATTATAGCTAGTTATAGGCATATAATAAAGTGTTTGTGTATGATACAGAGTTGGAACAAGTACCAGCCACTGCCTGTCACCATTTCCAGTAGTCAAGACAGTGCCATGCCCAGCTCTTTCTCTTCCAAGAGCAGTAGCAGCAGTGACCTTGCCAGTCCATCAGAGGTTGACCCCTACCTTCGTCTGTCCCCGGAAGCTCAGCATGCAGTTGACAACCTTGTCAGTATGGGTTTTTCCAAACCCCGTTCAGCACGTGCTGTTGAGAAGTTTGGGAAGGATGAGAAGGAGGTATAACAAAGTTTACTGAAGTTTATGAAGTGTATCAAGACATCAAGCTTTCAGTCATGGCGTAACATCTTTTATCAGTTACTGTTGAAAGACTTCTTTAAAGTCACCGAAGGGAGTTTTACTTATCTAATGTGCAATCTTTTTTTTATTCAAGAAATTATAATGCTATTCATGTGACTGATACAGGCTTATTATGTAGAATCTGCTAAAAGAGGGAATATCAGGTGATCTTTAATTGAAACTTCATGTAAGTAAACAATATGAACGTCTTGGAGATGTCCAGGTGAAGGGGAACAAAGAGAAAATCTGCGTTTTGTTGAGTATTGTATAAATGAGGGGTGTGCAGCACAGCCAAAATGCTCCTATCCTGTAAAAAAAACAACAATGGATAATTCATGAGATTGCCTCCCTTTAATGCATTCATATAACACAGCATGACTGAAATTGATCACCAATGTGTGTTGTTATGTTTGAGGACGTGTGATGATGATGTTACAACTGTTAATATGAGTTTTTTTAGACCTCCATCATCAGATGGCATACTTGTGAAGTACAGGATGGATCTTTTTCACATTACATAAGTAGGTTCCCCTTGGTCCCTACTTGTGTCTGTTTGATTTTGGGACTGATAAGAAAACCAAAATGGCTGACAAGCAGTCATCTTGGATTTTTTCAGTAAAGTTTGTTAAAGCTTTTCCTTGAAAAGTAAGAGACAGATCTCTCTCAAATTTCAAATTTCATATGTAGGTTCCCATAGGCCTCTAGCTGTGCCTATCGAATTTTGGGACTGATCAGAAAAACAAAATGGTCGAAAGGTGACCATCCCAGATTTTGACTTTGAAAATTTGTTTTTCGCTGTTTCTTGAGAAGTATTGGATGGATCTTAAATTTCATATCTAGGTTCCCCTTGGCACCTAATTGTGCCCTTTTGATTTCAGGTGTGATAAAAAATCAAAATGGCTGACAGGTGTGATCTTGTATTTTGACTTTTAAAGTTTGTTTTTGCTATTTCTTGAGAACTACTCTATAGATCTGTCTCAAATTTCATGAATAATTTCCTTTAGGTCCCTAGTTGTGCATGATTCAGTTTAAGACTGATCAGAGAAACAAAATGGCAGACAGGCAGCCATCTTGGATTTATGCTTAGAAAAAATTGTTATTGCTATTTCGTAAGAAGCACTGAATTGATGTTTCTCAAATTTCATACCGATGTTCCCTTTGGTCTCTCCTTGTGCTTTTTTGATTTTGGGACTGATCAGACGAAACAAAATGGCTTCCAGACGGCCATTTTGGATTTTGCAGGTTAAGAATATCATTGCTATTTCTGCAAAGGAATGTTCAAATGTCTTATCATTAAGAGCTAAAACTGAGAAGAGAAGAGAAAAGAAGGGAAAAGATCCAACTTTCAAAGACCAAATAAAGATAACAAAATGAAGGGCGCCATCCCTTTGGGATTTCTTGTTTTAGATTTGAGATTACCTTTAAGTGAACCATTAACACTGTTTTCTTCTTAGAACTTGCCATATTATCGGATGAAATTTAATCCAGATCAATCTATCATCTTCAAAAATACAAATCAAATGTATCGTCTTCATAAATATAAATACAAACTATCAAAAACGTTTTCAGCATAGTGTTTCATCTGCCATGCACCATAAAATAACTTCCCATTCAAAAAACATCTTCTCAATAACTGAAAAACCCAGAATTCTTATATTTTGCCTGTAGCATGCTCAGATGAAGGGCTACCAAGTTTGTAAAAATGGTCTTATCCAAGATCACAAGAGTGAAATGTGTTAAAACGTTTAAACAACTATATACCCAGGTGTTAAAACCAGGCCTGTAGCATGCGGGGATGAAGGACTACCAAATTTGTTCATATGATTGACGACCCAACATCAATATCACAAGGGTCAAATGTCAAAAAATTTGAACAACTTTTCATTGATCAAAATACCCAGTGAGCTCATATTGGGCCTGTAGCATGCTGGGTTGATAGGTAGTGTAGCATGCTTGGACTACCAAATTTCATGTGATTAACCTTGACCCATGTTCAAGGTCACAGGGGACAAACCTGTTAAAATCTTTGAAAAAATTTTTAATAGGCAAAGGCCCTTGGTGCTGATTTTGGGCCGGTAGCATACTGCAATGAATGGCTATATACCAAGTTGTTCATATGATTGACATAAAACCTTTTTAAATGTCATAGGTGTAACAGCGTTCAAAATTGTTAAATGACTTAATGGCTAAAATGCTGAGGGTGCTGATATTGGGCCTGTGGGATTGTGGTATGAAGGGTTACCTAGTTTGTTTATGTGATTGACACTTACCCTTTCTAAAGGTCACATGGGATGTGTTCAGGTATATTAAAATCTTTAAACAACTTCTTCTGATATGTGTTGGGATTTTTACTTTTCTTCTTTCATGAATAAAGAGGTCTGGAGTAATGAAAATAGTTGATAAAGGTATTTATAGCTTGAATTAAGTGAAATTACTTTGTGTTTGTAGGTGATTGACCACCTGTGTGGAGTAAACAACTTGTCTGAGAAGGGATTTGACACCTACCATGCTGAGATGGTCTTACTACTGTATAATAATAATCTCACGCGGGTAAGTCATTACAGGTTTGTGAGAGAAAGGATCTGAGAGGTTCTAAGCCAAGATTGTCTTAATAATAATAATAATACTGTTATTGATTCTTTTCATGAGATAAAACAAAGATTATTACAGCATATGTCTGGCATTAAGCCCATGTTTCTTTAATAGAATCACAAATAAATAATAGTTAACTGACCTAATGTGTCAGAATTGGAAAGTTTGCCCTTGCCCTTGTTACAGAACACATAATGTTAAAGTGTTATCTTTAAATGTAAAATACTTCTTTCATAAGATGAAACATGTCATTAGGATCACGTCATACTTTGTACCTCGTTGCTTAAGGATCAGAAGGAGCCCTGATGAATGACCATGCTGATGACAAGGAGTCAAACTTTTAAAAATCATTCAAAAACACATTGCAGCATTTTCAGTGGTAGAATTTGAAATTGTTTTGCAAATTATAGTATTCTAAAACAAGAGTTGTTGAACATAGTTAACAAAGCCCAGATTGATGTGTTTACATCAAAGCAAAGTGGTCACTTTCATTGGCATGTTTGGTATGAGTCATATGTGGGTTTTTTTCACAAAAAAAAAACTGATATTTTAAAGACAAGTCATGTTAGCTTCTAAAAATATTTAAGATATTTTGATTTGCTGTTTTAAACAGAGAGTAGCCATCTGCCACTTACAGATGAACAATGCTAACGAATGTTTGGAATGGCAATTTCAACAGGGTGATATCAGTCCTTCATGTAACTAGGTATAAAGTGATTTCAACTGGTCTGGAGACAAAATTGAAGATGTTATCTGAAAAATGTTGGTCTAAGCAAACAGGTAACATTACTTTTAAATCTTGGGTACATAATAAAATCAACACAAACTACCAAATCTTCCTTTTTTATTTTCAGGCAGAGAAATATCTAGACATGTTTCAACAGTTCAAAGAATTGGGCTTTAGCCATGACAGAATCAAAGAAGCCTTAGTCACAAATAATCTTGATAGAGAGAAAGCCTTAGATTTCCTGACAACCTGACAGGGGCTGTAACCTTTCTATGATGACCTTTTGACCCAAAGATCAAATTTTAGCAACAGACCCAACCACCAAGAAAGCAGTGAGTGCAAAGATTGTGAACTTTGACCATATGGAGTGTTATTGTTGCATGGTCTTGGGTCAGGATGTTTCACTTGCTGAAGTTGCTGTTGTAAATCACTCTTGAGAATTTGCAAGCAGTTTTGTGATAAGGAAACATTGAACTTTGATTATTATTCAACAAGAGTTATTTCCCATGGATGTGAGGGCATTAATTGTGTCATACACATGTGCCAAGTCTAGAGACTGTGTTTATGACCTCCAATAGTAAGCTTGAACTTAATAACAGAATAACCACTATTTATTCAGATCAAATCATAGCACACTCAATATAGTGGACAGAAACCTGTATATAATGAAGGAAGTCTCTCATCAAATCTTACTGGTCAGAAAATATAAACCACTGCCAATGTTGAATGATATAGCTTTGCATTTTTTTCTTTTTGAGACCGCGAGATATATACAATTTATATCTAGACTTGTATACCTTTTATTTATTGATTTTTTTTAGCAGGTTGATAATGCCAGTAGATATGTCACACTCTAATCTTATACTGGTTGTTGTGTGAAAAGAACTTCTATTCAACCATATAAACCTTTGTTATTGTAACAGAACACTTTTAAATAAGATGGGCCTTCTTTATGTTGTTCAGGTAGGTAGCCAACAGCTGTTGAAAGGAAACCCTTTCTCAATTTAAATATTACCATTTTGAAATAAAATTCTGTACAATAAGGAGTTGGTGTTAGTTACCGGCTTGTAGCTGAAACCAGCAGTGTTAAAAAATGGATTGCCATCATGTTGAATTACATGTTGTGAAATTACACACTCTTCACAGCTTGATTATTAAACATCAGTTGAGAAATGTCATTATTGTGCTTACATTGCTATTCTGTATTTTTGTCATGATTCTGTTGTAAAAGTCATATATTTAAGTAAAGATTTGTAGTAAAGTATGTATTCAGTATGTTACAGATCAAGGTAGTGCTCTTCCTCAAGCAATCAGAATTCCTCTTAACTTATTCTTTGTCTTGTCTAAGCAAAACCTTTATTAGATACCATTACATCATCCTTGTACTGTGACCAGTGGTGCCATTATGACGTCCTTGTACTGTGACTAGTGGTGCCATTATGACATCCTTGTACTGTGACTAGTGGTGCCATTATGACGTCCTTGTACTGTGACTAGTGGTGCCATTATGACGTCCTTTACTGTGACCAGTGGTGCCATTATGACATCCTTGTACTGTGACTAGTGGTGCCATTATGACATCCTTGTACTGTGACCAGTGGTGCCATTATGACATCCTTGTACTGTGACTAGTGGTGCCATTATGATGTCCTTGTACTGTGACCAGTGGTGCCATTATGACATCCTTGTACTGTGACTAGTGGTGCCATTATGACATCCTTGTACTGTGACTAGTGGTGCCATTATGATGTCCTTGTACTGTGACTAGTGGTGCCATTATGACATCCTTGTACTGTGACTAGTGGTGCCATTATGACGTCCTTGTACTGTGACTAGTGGTGCCATTATGACGTCCTTTACTGTGACCAGTGGTGCCATTATGACATCCTTGTACTGTGACTAGTGGTGCCATTATGACATCCTTGTACTGTGACCAGTGGTGCCATTATGACATCCTTGTACTGTGACTAGTGGTGCCATTATGATGTCCTTGTACTGTGACTAGTGGTGCCATTATGATGTCCTTGTACTGTGACCAGTGGTGCCATTATGACATCCTTGTACTGTGACTAGTGGTGCCATTATGACATCCTTGTACTGTGACCAGTGGTGCCATTACAACATCCATGTACTGCGACCAATGATATAAATATTTCTGCACTGACTTATAAGATAATAGATATTATACATTGTATCTATCAATTCTACATGTAGATTATTATACAGAGATTTCTAATGTGGAAATATTAACTCTGCTGAATAACGCACATTTGAGTATTTTTATGAGAAAGATTTGACATGCTTGATTATTATACATTAAATTTGATTGCGACTTTTATTTTTAAAACAGATCATTAATTATAAAAGATACCTGTGCACACAAACTACCTAGATAATTGTCCTTCAACAGAATGTTTCTTGGAAACAGAAAATGTTTCATTAAGGAATAAAATTTGACATAGGGTATAGTTTTTAATGCTGATGTTTCTTTTTAGTTTTGTCAAAAAGGAACTTCAGAGAACTAGGATTTAATTCTAGACTGTATTCAGTGATGTTAAGATTCCCTTTTATGCTGGTAATGTAATACTTCTACTGACTGTAATCAATTGCGTTCCATTTGTCCTGTGGGTTTAAATCCAGTGTTGTGGCGTGGTATTGAAGCACAGTAAACATAACTTGGGTTATATTAGTTTGGGTATAGGGTAGGTAGGCTTATTACCTGATACTTGACTTGAGTGTATAAGAATTCAACACATCTGTCCATCATTTCCTCCGAATTAAACAATGAGTAGTCTTCTAGTCATATTCTGTTAGGAAAGTGAATGTATTTTCATCAAAATACTTGCAGAATGTGTTGCAATTTGTCTGAATTGTCTTCAATAAATTTCTTTTTAAAACAGTGTCTAAATATCTCTTACCTGGCATTTTGATTTGATTATATCACTTTGACTTTTCTCCAGTAAAACCAAACGGTAATGATGAATGCTACATGTAATGGTTTATTGAGATGGGTAGATTGGCTGTATAGTCCAAAACATGATAAGTCACTACTTATTGTGGATGTGTAGTTAAGTGTTGTGTCCATATTTTGAGTAAGACTAGAGGAACGACCACTTCATTTATCACCAGTGCATGTTACATGTGTGGTGGCAAAGGAGCCTGGTATCCTTTAGAGTGCCCTAAGACAGCATGGGGAGTAGGGTGTCCCTACAGACTTGCTGGAGAATATGGTTCAAGCCTCAAATGGCATCGCTACAATAACGGAATGACAGTTTTGTGTGCTGGGGATGATACGCTGAACTCATGAGAATGTCCTCTGTGATAGGAAGTTGTGTGACAAAATTAGGTTATGTGATTGTTCATAGTTATGGTCTGATTGGCTATCTTGTCCAACAAGTAACTTTTTGCAGGTGTGTAATTGGTTTGTAAGTGTTCCGATGTTAAGCAATGTCAAGCATTGTCAGTAGTTGCCAGTTCTATCAACATGTTCAGATTCTCCAGTTTGTGGTACAGTATATATATTGTTGATGAATCAATGTTAAAAAAATCGGGAAAAAGGATGAAATATGAAAATCTGATATACACAAATGAGTTATAAAAACAAATGACCAAAATGGCATGTAAGGAAGGAATATTATTAACATAAATTTACATATGTGAATACATAATCAGGAAATGGGTTATGGTTATTTTTTTTTTTTTAATAAAAATTTACAGTGTTCATGTATATTACAGCTGATATTAATGATGATGTTTTTGAAATGTGTTTGTTCTACATGATACACTAAGAAATAATACTGAATTCTGGAAAACTCGCATTATATACCTATAGTTCCTTTTCTTCAATGGTGAAAATACATAAACACTACGATTAGACATTTGAGCACTAAATGGCAAAATTAGTGCAAGGTAACATAGGCCTGTTGTATGTTTTAGTCCACAATCATCAGATGATGGGCTATTTGAATCGCTCTGTGTCATTCATCCGTTGTCTGTTCATTGTCCATCGGTCGTCCATCTGCAAACAATTTTTGTTATTACTATTTCTTGAGAATAATACTTTCTCAAATTGCATATGTAGGTTCCCCTTAGTACCTAGTTGTGCCCATGTAATTTTAGGACTGATCAGAAAAATGAAATGGCAGTCAGGCAGTCATCTTGGATTTTTTCAATAACGTTTGTTATCTCTATTTCTTGAATAGTGAAAGATGGATATCTCACAAATTTCATTTGTAGGTTACCATTAGTCCCAATTTGTGCCCATTCGATTTTGGGTCTGATCAAAATGGCCGACAGATGGCCATCTTCAATTTTCACTTTAAAAGTTTATTATCACTATTTCGTGAGAACTACTGTATAGACCTTTCTCAAATTTCATTGATAGTTTCTTTTGGTCCTTAGTTATGCCCACCTTGGGGCTGTTCAGAAATATGAAACAGCCGACAAGTGGCTATCTTGGATTTTGACGTTGAAAATTTGTTATCGCTATTTCTTGAGAAGTACTGGATGGACTTTTCTCAAATTTCATATATAGCTTCCCATTTATCCCTTGTTGTGCCCATTCAATGCTGAATTCTGATCAGAAAAACAAAATGGCAGTTGTGCCTGTTTAAGTTTGGGACAGATCAGAAAAAAAAATTACTAACAAGCAGCTATCTTGGATTTTGCCCAGTAAAGATTGTTATTGCAATTTATTAAGAAGTACTGAATGAATATCTCTCAAATGTCATACATCTGTTTTCTTCGGTCTCTCCTTGTGCTCGTTTGATTTTGGGATTGATTAGAAGAAACAAAATGGCTGCCAGATAGCAATTTTGGATTTGGCAGGTAAAGGAATGTTCAAATGTCTTGTCATTAAAAGCAAACACAGAGAAGAGAAAAGATGGGAAAAGATCCAACTTTCAAAGAGGATATAAAGATCAAATAATGGTGGGCGCCAGGACCCGTTTGGGATCTCTGGTTTCATAATTGGATGATACAATGTCTGTGTTGAAAAAATCTTATAATATTTAGTGTATTCATATCTTGATAATTAAAATACAAAACATGGCTTATATTGTAACTGTAGTGTTCAGTGTTACATAGTGTGATGGGTATAGTAGGGACCTCAAGAGTATAACCTTGGCAACAGTGTATTGGAATGATATTATTGATCTAAACATTGGCCTTTCTGAAAATTTTGGCTCCCATATCTTGAAAACAGAAAAAAAAGAAAGATATAACGGGAAGTTGTGCATTTTATGTATGTGTTGTCATCAATAATACTGTCAACTACATGTTTTCTAGATTAATTTATCCCTGTCGAGGGCTGACACTCTATATATCAAAATCTACTTGGAGGCAAAGCCAAAAATGTTATGTTAGGAACGTCAGCAATAGTCCAAATTGAATTGATCTGGAAAACTTATGGATTCAATTTCTCACACGATTTTTGCGAACTGCATAAAACTCTCTCAACTACATGTAGTTTCATTTCCAAATTCTTTGTTTCAGTTAGATTACCTCCCTTTGTGGCACCAAAATCTACCAGACATACAAGACAAGAGAGAAAAATGTAGCACCTAGCAGCATATCAGATTTCCATGTCTCATCATAGAGTAAAAATATGTCAAAAAGCCCCCGTACCCATCGATGGTATGGATACAGTATATTCTGATTAAACTACGTGTGACTCTCATACTTTACTGCTTTGGTCGGGGAAATTTTTGTTTTCCTTCCGAAGGCAGCTTGTATGCTTAAAGTTTATTCTGAAAATGTAGGTCGACTTTCAATATTGTTATAGTCTTACAATGAGGTCGCAGCTTTAATTTTGTCGTTATTGTATGTGTCAATTATATTCATTTAGTGTATCAAGTTTAAGTTTTGTGATGGAATAGTGTTATGGCAATGGAGATAGAGTTCTGTATGTATGTCCTATACAGTCAAGGTCAGAGTTTGAAGTTGAGACACGAGGAAGTGAGATAAAAACTAAAATTAGAGCTTAACTTCTTTACTTTGAGACACAGAAGTGATTTTATTTCCTAGACAGGTATGTTTATAGAAAAGACATCATGTTAACATTGCCAAGTACTGAGATGACAAGACATACATAAAAACTAGGACAGCAGTCAACATTGCCAAGTAATGAGATGACAAGGCATACATAAAAACTAGGACAGCAGTCAACATTGCCAAGTAATGAGATGACAGCAAATCATACATAAATACTAGGACAGCAGTCAACATTGCCAAGTACTGAGATGACAACAAGGCATACATAAAAACTAGGACAGCAGTCAACATTGCCAAGTACTGAGATGACAACAAATCATACATAAAAACTAGGACAGCTGTCAACATTGCCAAGTACTGAGATGACAACAAGGCATACATAGATACTAGGACAACAGTCAACATTGCCAAGTACTGAGATGACAAGGCATACATAAATACTAGGACAGCAGTCAACATTGTCAGGTAATGAGATGACAAGGCATACATAAAAACTAGGACAACTGTCAACATTGCCAAGTATTGAGATGACAAGGCATACATAAAAACTAGGACAGCAGTCAACATTGCCAAGTACTGAGATGACAACAAATCATACATAAAAACTAGGACAGCTGTCAACATTGCCAAGTACTGAGATGACAACAAGGCATACATAGATACTAGGACAACAGTCAACATTGCCAAGTACTGAGATGACAAGGCATACATAAATACTAGGACAGCAGTCAACATTGCCAGGTAATGAGATGACAAGGCATACATAAATACTAGGACAACTGTCAACATTGCCAAGTATTGAGATGACAAGGCATACATAAAAACTAGGACAACAGTCAACATTGCCAAGTACTGAGATGACAACAAGGCATACATAAATACTAGGACAACAGTCAACATTGCCAAGTACTGAGATGACAACAAGGCATACATAAATACTAGGACAACAGTCAACATTGCCAAGTACTGAGATGACAAGGCATACATAAATACTAGGACAGCAGTCAACATTGCCAAGTAATGAGATGACAAGGCATACATAAATACTAGGACAACTGTCAACATTGCCAGGTATTGAGAGGACAAGGCATACATAAAAACTAGGACAGCAGTCAACATTGCCAAGTACTGAGATGACAACAAGGCATACATAAATACTAGGACAACAGTTAACATTGCCAAGTAATGAGATGACAAGGCATACAACATTGCCAAGTAATGAGATGACAACAAGGCAAACATAAAAACTAGGACAACAGTCAACATTGCCAAGTAATGAGATGACAACAAGGCATACATAAATACTAGGACAACAGTCAATATTGCCAAGTACTGAAATGACAACAAATCATACATAAAAACTAGGACAACAGTCAACATTGCCAAGTAATGACAACATGAGAAGAGAACAGTCATTGAGTATGAGATAATGAAGGGATCTGACCCTGAGGGGAATGATGATTAAGTAAACCCTCAACAAGCCTCATGTTTGAGAAGTAATCTTTCCTCCATCTCACCTGAAACGGTGAATGATTTCTCGTTCCCACATTCGCTTGTGAACCATCAAAATTTAGTGTTGGCATTTGTTCATGGAAGAAATTTGGTAACTTTTTTCAGAATGAATAAAATTATTTTTAATATTTGTTCACTTGTTTTAACCCTTTTCAATCTTCTATTAAATATTCATGTGAAATTTCAATGCTGAAGCATATCTATGGTCAGCTGTGCATATGCTTTACACACCTGGCATTGTTTAGGGAGAAAAATAATGAGTGTGTTCCATGGACAGGAAAATCTCAAAATCCTCAGAAAGATTACTACACATAGGTATGGATGATACAATCTCATACAGAATAGAACTTTATCCTGTTCTTCATCGTTTTCATCATTTCTGTATTTTTAGCTTACACAATACACATGTAGTTACTTTCACTTGATGAATAATAAAAAATTCCAAAATTTTAATTACATTATCAAAGATGCTTGATGCTAAGAGAGATTTCCTGAACATCCAGTAAAGTGATTTGCTGTCCTAGAAAGAAAATTCAATGAAACAGAATACACCTTTCCTTTCAGAGGTCAGTGACATTTGACCATATGTTACATTTGATATGTCATTCCTAAGGAATCCTATTCACACTTCATGTGTAGTCAGAACAGATGATCCTGAAAAAAGATACATTTACGTAGACTGTTTTTTGTCACGGCAGATAGTCATTAGAAAATATGCCCTGATATTGACTGTTTTTTTGTCACGGCAGATAATCTTAAGAAAATAAGCCCTGATATTGACTGTTTTTTGTCACGGCAGATAGTCATTAGAAAATATGCCCTGATATTGACTGTTTTTTTGTCACGGCAGATAATGTTCAGAAAATATGCCCTGATATTGACTGTTTTTTGTCACGGCAGATAGTCATTAGAAAATATGCCCTGATATTGACTGTTTTTTTGTCACGGCAGATTATCTTCAGAAAATATGCCCTGATATTGACTGTTTTTTGTCACGGCAGATAATCTTAAGAAAATAAGCCCTGATATTGACTGTTTTTTGTCACGGCAGATAGTCATTAGAAAATATGCCCTGATATTGACTGTTTTTTTGTCACGGCAGATAATGTTCAGAAAATATGCCCTGATATTGACTGTTTTTTGTCACGGCAGATAGTCATTAGAAAATATGCCCTGATATTGACTGTTTTTTTGTCACGGCAGATAATCTTCAGAAAATATGCCCTGATATTGACTGTTTTTTGTCACGGCAGATAGTCATTAGAAAATATGCCATGATATTGACTGTTTTTTTGTCAGGGCAGAAAGTCATTAGAAAATACACCCTGATATAGACAATTCTCTTGTCAGGGCAGATAATCTTCAGAAAATAAGCCCTGATATTGACTGTTTTTTTGTCACGGCAGATAGTCATTAGAAAATATACCCTGATATAGACAATTCTCTTGTCAGGGCAGATAATCTTCAGAAAATAAGCCCTGATATTGACTGTTTTTTTGTCACGGCAGAAAATCTTCAGAAAATATGCCCTGATATTGACTGTTTTCTTGTCAGGGCAGATAATCTTCAGAAAATATGCCCTGATATTGACTGTTTTCTTGTCAGGGCAGATAATCTTCAGCAAATATGCCCTGATATTGACTGTTTTCTTGTCAGGGCAGATAATCTTCAGCAAATATGCCCTGATATTGATTGTTTTCTTGTCAGGGCAGATAATCTTCAGAAAATATGCCCTGATATTGACTGTTTTCTTGTCACGGCAGATAACCTTCAGAAAATATGCCCTGATATTGACTGTTTTCTTGTCAGGGCAGATAATCCTCAGAATACTCAACAATAGATGCACTTACATATCTAGTGCTGAAGATGAGGTTATCAGATTTTGAGCAAATGACTTAAATTCATTATATGAATGTTGTGTAAGTTGGTTTGAAAGATGGTGTACTTATTATTTTATAACCCGAGTTGTTTCTGATGATGTCTGACCTTTTCAGTTGTTAAAATTTATTCACTTTCCAGGTTTTTTTCATCCTGTTTTACCTATTTTTTTAGTACTTGTGTCTGCCATAGGTGTGTTAAGCTAACATATTTAGATTTTTACGTTTTGCAAAACTGTGCGCATTTTGTTCATCTAAAAACTGCATTTTTAAACAGATAACTGAAACGATGTGCATAAGTGCATCATTGTGAAATGTCAATAAACAACAAAAAAGAAAAGTGTCATTTCTTATATTTACATTTTCTTTCTTTATTTACACTCCTAAAAAATCAATAATTGTTGTTCATTGCTTGTTATACGTTGACAGAACACCTGACAACTGATAGAATAGCAAAACAATTGATTCCAATTTCACAGGAAAGTTTGTTAACCACAGGAAGTAAACAGAAAACAGTTCAAAATATGTCATCTTTTTGTTACATTGTTAGGTCATTAGGTCAGCTGAGACAAAATGTCATGGTGACCTCTTCTAATACCCTTCGTCCGGTGCCGTGCGTCAGATTTCAAAAAACTTCTTCTCAAGACCCAGATATGATAGAGTCAAATACTCTTCAAGAATGAAAGCATCTTATGGTGTATTACCAAAATTGTAAATTTCATGGCCCCAGGGTCTCACATATCGCATAGAAAAACTAGATCTTTTAGCATAATTTGTTTAATTTCTATTGGAAATATTTCAGACTTGGCTAGAATTATGAGTGAAGGATGACAGCTTGATGGTTTGCCCATTTTGATCCTGACTGACCCCAAGGGGCTGATGGGTCAAATTGACTTGAAATTCAAAAATCTTCTACATTCATTGTCACAAGTTCTGTTTCATGACACTTGATAACTAAGCTTTAACCTTTATATTCAATATTGCTTATCTCAGGTGACCGTCAAGCCTGCTAGGCCTCTTGTTGTTAGATATTTACCTTACTACATCATGGCTGGACTTCCCTAACAAGAGGAGTGTAAATATCACACTCACTTTTATGGGATTTCCTTATCATAGGGAATAAAGTTTGTAGCTTTTCCATGTGTTTGGTGCTATAACTTTATTTACAGTCAATATAGCAGAGATTGTTTTATTGATGCTGTTTATATATGATGGTACAATGTGTTTACATACGTTTTTTTAATACGTTATTGACACACCTGGTCTAAGGATCAAGATGTGTGACTGCCATCATTCAGTGTCAGTGATTTATTAACCATTTTTTTACCCTTTTCTATAGCGTCTTTTTAACAACCACAGAACTTACAGAGCAGGTGAGCATTGCATGCAGTCCTTTCTGTCTCTTGTTGTACTCGATTTTCCTCAGATGAAGTGATATCAGGTTTTTTAGATAAATTTGTAAAAATTAACAGTAAGCTTCATTCATTAATGGATTTGGTCCTGTGCCTTTCAAAGGCATTGAGACCCAAAGTCTTGAAATGGTTAGACACCTCCTTTTTCTGAAACATAAGATGCAGAGCCCTGATGTGTAGTCAGTAGCTTTCCAGGTGAGCGATACAGGCTCTGTGGCTTGTTGTTGGCACCAAAATTATATATTGTTTATTTATAGGAATTTTTTGGTTACGGATAGCTGACTTCATTTATCAGTATTGAAAGATTCCAAAAGTTAAGAAGACTGAGTAAATTGGTAGAATATGAACATTTGCTATTTATAAAAGGAGATCATCAATCGCAACAAACTAGGGACAACTATTGGCTCTATTCTTTGAACTTCTTTGCTATTTATAGATGTAAATAGTTGATTGTGAAACTTTTCAATCATGTGGATGTGTAAAAAAAAATAAGTGATGAGGACAATGCAATTATCCCATTCATTATTGATCCAAAAAATGAGGTTTGTTTTCTGTATGTCACTAGAAGTTTGTTCCTGTTGTATGTCTGTATGAGGATAGTTGTATGTCTGTATGATGATAGTTGTATGTCTGTATGATGAGAGTTGTATGTCTGTATGATGATAGTTGTATGTCTGTATGATGATAGTTGTATGTCTGTATGATGAGAGTTGTATGATGATAGTTGTATGTCTGTATGATGATAGTTGTATGTCTGTATGATGATAGTTGTATGATGATAGTTGTATGTCTGTATGATGAGAGTTGTATGTCTGTATGATGATAGTTGTATGTCTGTATGATGATAGTTGTATGTATGTCTGTATGATGATAGTTGTATGTCTGTATGATGATAGTTGTATGTCTGTATGATGATAGTTGTATGTCTGTATGATGATAGTTGTATGATGATAGTTGTATGATGATAGTTGTATGTCTGTATGATGAGAGTTGTATGTCTGTATGATGATAGTTGTATGTCTGTATGATGATAGTTGTATGTCTGTATGATGATAGTTGTATGTCTGTATGATGATAGTTGTATGTCTGTATGATGATAGTTGTATGTGATGTATGATGATAGTTGTATGTCTGTATGATGATAGTTGTATGTGATGATAGTTGTATGTCTGTATGATGATAGTTGTATGTCTGTATGATGATAGTTGTATGTTGTATGATGATAGTTGTATGATGATAGTTGTATGTCTGTATGATGATGATGTCTGTATGATGTTGTATGTCTGTATGATGATAGTTGTATGTCTGTATGATGATAGTTGTATGTCTGTATGATGATAGTTGTATGTATATGTCTGTATGATGATAGTTGTATGTCTGTATGATGATAGTTGTATGTCTGTATGATGATAGTTGTATGTCTGTATGATGATAGTTGTATGTCTGTATGATGATAGTTGTATGTCTGTATGATGATAGTTGTATGTCTGTATGATGATAGTTGTATGATGATAGTTGTATGTCTGTATGATGATAGTTGTATGTCTGTATGATGATAGTTGTATGTCTGTATGATGATAGTTGTATGTCTGTATGATGATATTTGTATGATGATAGTTGTATGTCTGTATGATGATAGTTGTATGTATGATGATAGTTGTATGTTGATAGTTGTATGTCTGTATGATGATAGTTGTATGTCTGTATGATGATAGTTGTATGATGATAGTTGTATGTCTGTATGATGATAGTTGTATGTCTGTATGATGATAGTTGTATGATGATAGTTGTATGTCTGTATGATGATAGTTGTATGTCTGTATGATGATAGTTGTATGTCTGTATGATGATAGTTGTATGTCTGTATGATGATATATGTATGAATATAGTATTATCTCTGTATGAATGATAGTTGTATGTCTGTATGATGATAGTTGTATGTCTGTATGATGATAGTTGTATGTCTGTATGATGATAGTTGTATGTCTGTATGATGATAGTTGTATGTCTGTATGATGATAGTTGTATGTCTGTATGATGATAGTTGTATGTCTGTATGATGATAGTTGTATGTCTGTATGATGATAGTTGTATGTCTGTATGATGATAGTTGTATGTCTGTATGATGATAGTTGTATGTCTGTATGATGATAGTTGTATGTCTGTATGATGATAGTTGTATGTCTGTATGATGATAGTTGTATGTCTGTATGATGATAGTTGTATGTCTGTATGATGATAGTTGTGTATGATGATAGTTGTATGTCTGTATGATGATAGTTGTATGTCTGTATGATGATAGTTGTATGATGATAGTTGTATGTCTGTATGATGATAGTTGTATGTCTGTATGATGATAGTTGTATGTCTGTATGATGATAGTTGTATGTCTGTATGATGATAGTTGTATGTCTGTATGATGATAGTTGTATGATGATAGTTGTATGTCTGTATGATGATAGTTGTATGTCTGTATGATGATAGTTGTATGTCTGTATGATGATAGTTGTATGTCTGTATGATGATAGTTGTATGTCTGTATGATGATAGTTGTATGTCTGTATGATGATAGTTGTATGATGATAGTTGTATGTCTGTATGATGATAGTTGTATGATGATAGTTGTATGTCTGTATGATGATAGTTGTATGTCTGTATGATGATAGTTGTATGTCTGTATGATGATAGTTGTATGTCTGTATGATGAGAGTTGTATGATGATAGTTGTATGTCTGTATGATGATAGTTGTATGTCTGTATGATGATAGTTGTATGTCTGTATGATGATAGTTGTATGTCTGTATGATGAGAGTTGTATGATGATAGTTGTATGTCTGTATGATGAGAGTTGTATGTCTGTATGATGATAGTTGTATGTCTGTATGATGATAGTTGTATGTGATGTCTGTATGTCTGATGATGTAGTTGTATGATGATAGTTGTATGTCTTTATGATGATAGTTGTATGTCTGTATGATGATAGTTGTATGTCTGTATGATGATAGTTGTATGTCTGTATAATGATGATAGTTGTATGTCTGTATGATGATAGTTGTATGTCTGTATGATGATAGTTGTATGTCTGTATGATGATAGTTGTATGTCTGTATGATGATAGTTGTATGTCTGTATGATGATAGTTGTATGTCTGTATGATGATCTGTATGTGATGTATGTCTGTATGATGATAGTTGTATGTTTTGTATGATGATAGTTGTATGTCTGTATGATGAGAGTTGTATGATGATAGTTGTATGATGATGATAGTTGTATGTCTGATGATGATGATGATAGTTGTATGTCTGTATGATGATAGTTGTATGTCTGTATGATGATAGTTGTATGATGATAGTTGTATGTCTGTATGATGATAGTTGTATGTCTGTATGATGAGAGTTGTATGTCTGTATGATGATAGTTGTATGTCTGTATGATGATAGTTGTATGTCTGTATGATGATAGTTGTATGTCTGTATGATGAGAGTTGTATGTCTGTATGATGATAGTTGTATGTCTGTATGATGATAGTTGTATGTCTGTATGATGATAGTTGTATGTCTGTATGATGATAGTTGTATGTCTGTATGATGATAGTTGTATGTCTGTATGATGATAGTTGTATGTAGTTGTGTATGATGATAGTTGTATGTCTGTATGATGATAGTTGTATGTCTGTATGATGATAGTTGTATGTCTGTATGATGATAGTTGTATGTCTGTATGATGATAGTTGTATGTCTGTATGATGATAGTTGTATGTCTGTATGATGATAGTTGTATGTCTGTATGATGATAGTTGTATGTCTGTATGATGATAGTTGTATGTCTGTATGATGATAGTTGTATGTCTGTATGATGATAGTTGTATGTCTGTATGATGATAGTTGTATGTCTGTATGATGATGTATGTCTGTATGATGATAGTTGTATG